CCCCAAAACCCCAAAACCCCAAAACCCCAAAACCCCAAAACCCCGAAAAATATGTGCAAAATTGGAGATAATGACATGTGTCATAATTAATACCTAAAATGGCTCCTAGATTAATCTTTATACCCAAGGAACTTGAGTAAGGCTACTCAGAAGTTACAAGAAATAGTAAGGGCTGCTCCTAAGATTTCTATGTACCCAAATGAGGTTTTGAATATGAATAAATCATACATAAAAACAAGAAAGATTTGGAAATAATAGAAAACAGCTACTTTAGCTGCCTTCTCGTATTCATACGCCAAGGCTTGCATCAGCTGGCCTAAGAAAGAGGACATGCTGACGACAAGGATCATAAGGATATCAGCCCAGTTGTATCTCACGTTGTAAGTAGTACCTTGTGCGTCTATGAGGAAAAACAGGACTCCTGTTACAGTTCAACCAATGCTGAAGTAAAAGGGAGCAACTGTAAAATGGAGTTTCCCTCCCATTTTTCTTATCACTATCCATCCAATGCTAGAGCATAGGCCGCCTATTGATGAAATCAATATGCCTGCTAGCTCATTACTCCCTTGGCCTTGCTCGGCAAAAGGATTATTTATGAGTACGATTCCTACGAATCCTAGTGATAATGAAAATATATCCAACTTTGAAGTTGGCTCTTGAAGGAACATATACAATTAGCTCATACATTTAGAGGGCGATTTGGAGGGGGTTCCTAGACCTTGGTGTATGACAGAAAGGGGACGTACAATGGCCCTGTGTAGTAGAGCACAACTGCCTTTGAAATCGGGATATACATAGAGCCAGCAAAGTAAGCTCACATTGCAAGAGAACCAAAGATCGAACGGAGCACAACTAGATTTTGAAACTGTAAGGAACCTAATAGCAGATATTTGAAAATCTGCACCTAAAATTTTAACCAAGAAGTAAACCTCTGGGACTAATTTAGTGACCTTTATTGCTAACCAGACTGAATCTATCAGATAATTGTACATGCATTGTTGAGAAATATCTCAGGAGATAGGAAATCTCTAGCAATCTACTCAAAGAAATAACTAGGATAATAATTTTATTACACATTTATACTAAGCATAATCTACCTAGAGAGGATCTCTCCATTGCTTTCAAAGGAGCTCACTGGAAAATCATTAAAGTATGAGCCTCATGTTGGATAATTTATAGCAAAAATATTTCTTCAGTCTTCCGGGATCTCAAGTACACTTACAGGTTTTCTGTTCTCCTTCTTAGTTGGGAGAATCAAATAGTGATATCTTCATAACAAGAGGTTGGCAATGTTCATAAAAATAGACTTCCAATATATTACCTCATAGGCTTTGATATTTGTGTATTTGTAGGTAAACCCAAGTGTTAGAGGGCATATTGACCAAACTACGTTCATCCCTAAACCAAAGAATATCCCTGCCATTTTATTCTTGCTAGAATCATCTCGTTGCACTTTTGATGAATCAAGCTCTGCTTGTGCTTGTTTAGGGCAATTCTCAATGCTATCAAACTGTTCTTTCAAGTCTGAGGAAATCTCTTGGGCTAATTTATCCTGACCAGGGCTTATTCTATCCTGAGGTAGCATCTAAATTATCTTTTAAAATATTATTCATCAAGAATATTATTAGCAGGGGTTTTGGGGTTTTGGGGTTTTGGGG